AAAGAGAATACTTTTAGCTTTAATTTGATATAAAAATTATTTCTCTAAATTCAAAATTCTGTCGAATGTGATTATTTAAAGTTGACTATTTTGTAAAATATGATTAAAATTTCATCATTTCTTGAACGTTTTCTCGCAAAGAATATCTAAATAAAATCATGGATTGTCACATATCGTCTTAAAGAGGACATCTTTAGCTTTAATTTGACATATAAGCCATTTCTTAATATTCCAAAATAAGGTAGATACGATTTTTTAAAATTTGACAAATTTCCTTGATAAATTAGATTATGAGCAAAATATCACAATTTTCGATAAAAAATTTTTATAGAAAATATTTATGCAAATAATTATATAGTTATAAAGAGGATACTTTTAGCTTTAAATTGATATAAAAATTATTTCTCTAAATTCAAAACTAAGTCCAGTGTGGTTATTTAAAGTTGACTATTTTGTAAAATATGATTAAAATTTCATAATTTTTTGAACGTTTTTTCGGAAAGAAAATTTAAATGAAATCATGGATTGTTATATATCGTCTGAAAGAGGAGATCTTTAGGTTTAATTTGATATATAAGTCATTTCTTAATATTCCAAAATAAGGTAGATACGATCATTTAAACTTTGACAAATTTCTTTGATAAATTAGATTATGAGCAAATGATAAAATTTTTTTATAGAAAATATTTAACCATAATAATTATATTGTTGTAAAGAGGATACTTTTAGCTTTAATTTGATATTAAAATTATTTGGCTAAATTCAAAACTAAGTCCAGTGTGGTTATTTAAAGTTGACTATTTTGTAAAATATGATTAAAATTTCATAATTTTTTGAACGTTTTTTCGGAAAGAAAATTTAAATGAAATCATGGATTGTTATATATCGTCTGAAAGAGGAGATCTTTAGCTTTAATTTGATATATAAGTCATTTCTTAATATTCCAAAATAAGGTAGATACGATCATTTAAACTTTGACAAATTTCTTTGATAAATTAGATTATGAGCAAATGATAAAATTTTTTTATAGAAAATATTTAACCATAATAATTATATTGTTGTAAAGAGGATACTTTTAGCTTTAATTTGATATTAAAATGATTTGGCTAAATTCAAAACTAAGTCCAGTGTGGTTATTTAAAGTTGACTATTTTGTAAAATATGATTAAAATTTCATAATTTTTTGAACGTTTTTTCGGAAAGAAAATTTAAATGAAATCATGGATTGTTATATATCGTCTGAAAGAGGAGATCTTTAGGTTTAATTTGATATATAAGTCATTTCTTAATATTCCAAAATAAGGTAGATACGATCATTTAAAATTTGACAAATTTCTTTGATAAATTAGATTATGAGCAAAATATCACAATTTTCGATAAAAAATTTTTATAGAAAATATTTATGCAAATAATTATATAGTTATAAAGAGGATACTTTTAGCTTTAAATTGATATAAAAATTATTTCTCTAAACTCAAAACTAAGTCCAGTGTGGTTATTTAAAGTTGACTATTTTGTAAAATATGATTAAAATTTCACAATTTTTTGAACAGTTTCTCGGGAAGAAAATCTAAATGAAATCATGGATTGTTATATATCGTCTTAAAGAGGAGATCTTTAGGTTTAATTTGATATATAAGTCATTTCTTAATATTCCAAAATAAGGTAGATACGATCTTTTAAAATTTGACAAATTTCTTTGATAAATTAGATTATGAGCAAAATATCACAATTTTCGATAAAAAATTTTTATAGAAAATATTTATGCAAATAATTATATAGTTATAAAGAGGATACTTTTAGCTTTAAATTGATATAAAAATTATTTCTCTAAACTCAAAACTAAGTCCAGTGTGGTTATTTAAAGTTGACTATTTTGTAAAATATGATTAAAATTTCACAATTTTTTGAACATTTTCTCGGGAAGAAAATCTAAATGAAATCGTGGATTGTTATATATCGTTTTAAAGAGGAAATCTTTAGCTTTAATTCGATATATAAATCATTACTTAATATTTCAAAATAAGCTAGATATGATCTTTTAAAGTTTAACACATTTCCTTGATAAATTAGATTATGAGCAAAATGTCATAATTTTCGACAACATTTTTTTATAAGAAAACATTTAAACAAATAATTATATTGTTATAAAGAGGATACTTTTAGCTTTAATTTGACATAAAAATTATTTGTCTAAATTCAAAATTGAGTCCAGTGTGATTGTTTAAAGTTGACTATTTTGTAAAATATGATTAAAATTGCATCATTTTTTGAAGGTTTTCTCGGGAAGAAAATTTAAGTGAAATCATGGATTGCTATATATTATCATAAAGAGGAGATCTTTAGCTTTAATTCGATATATAACTCATTTCTTAATATTCCAAAATAAGCTAGATACGATCTTTTAAAGTTTGAAAAATTTTTGATAAATTAGATTATGAGCAAAATGTCACAATTTTTGATAAAAAATTTCTATGGAAAATATTTAAGCAAAATGACAACATATTGTTGTAAAGAGAATACTTTTAGCTTTAATTTGATATAAAAATTATTTCTCTAAATTCAAAATTCTGTCAAATGTGATTATTTAAAGTTGACTATTTTGTAAAATATGATTAAAATTTCACAATTTTTTGAACATTTTCTCGGGAAGAAAATCTAAATGAAATCATGGATTGTTATATATCGTCTTAAAGAGGAGATCTTTAGCTTTAATTCGATATATAAGTCATTTCTTAATATTCCAAAATAAGCTAGATATGATCTATTAAAGTTTAAAAAATTTTTGATAAATTAGATTTTGAGCAAAATGTCACAATTTTTGATAAAAAAATTTTATAGAAAATATTTAAGCAGAATGACAACATACTGTTGTAAAGAGAATACTTTTAGCTTTAATTTGATATAAAAATTATTTCTCTAAATTCAAAATTCTGTCGAATGTGATTATTTAAAGTTGACTATTTTGTAAAATATGATTAAAATTTCATCATTTCTTGAACGTTTTCTCGCAAAGAATATCTAAATAAAATCATGGATTGTCACATATCGTCTTAAAGAGGACATCTTTAGCTTTAATTTGACATATAAGCCATTTCTTAATATTCCAAAATAAGGTAGATACGATTTTTTAAAATTTGACAAATTTCCTTGATAAATTAGATTATGAGCAAAATATCACAATTTTCGATAAAAAATTTTTATAGAAAATATTTATGCAAATAATTATATAGTTATAAAGAGGATACTTTTAGCTTTAAATTGATATAAAAATTATTTCTCTAAACTCAAAACTAAGTCCAGTGTGGTTATTTAAAGTTGACTATTTTGTAAAATATGATTAAAATTTCACAATTTTTTGAACATTTTCTCGGGAAGAAAATCTAAATGAAATCGTGGATTGTTATATATCGTTTTAAAGAGGAGATCTTTAGCTTTAATTCGATATATAACTCATTTCTTAATATTTCAAAATAAGCTAGATATGATCTTTTAAAGTTTAACAAATTTCTTTGATAAATTAGATTATGACCAAATGATAAAATTTTTTTTATAGAAAGTATTTAAGCAGAATAATTATATTGTTATAAAGAGGATACTTTTAGCTTCAATTTGATATAAAAATTATTGGTTTGGGATCAAAACTGAGTCGCATGCGATTTTTTAACTTTGATTATTTTATAAAGTTGCTTAGAATAGCATCATTTTGGTAAACATTTCCTTGGAANAATTTTATATAAAAATTATTTCTCTAAATTCAAAATTCTGTCAAATGTGATTATTTAAAGTTGACTATTTTGTAAAATATGATTAAAATTTCACAATTTTTTGAACATTTTCTCGGGAAGAAAATCTAAATGAAATCATGGATTGTTATATATCATTTTAAAGGCGAGATCTTTAGCTTTAATTTGACATATAAGTCATTTCTTAATATTCCAAAATAAGGTAGATACGATCTTTTAAAGTTTGACAAATTTCTTTGATAAATGAGATTATGACCAAATGATAAAAATTTTTTATAGAAAATATTTGAGCATAATAATTATATTGTTGTAAAGAGGATACTTTTAGCTTTAATTTGATATAAAATTTATTAGTTTGGGATCAAAACTGAGTCGCATGCGATTTTTTAACTTTAATTAATTTATAAAGTTGCTTAGAATAGCATCATTTTCGTAAACATTTCCTTGGAAGGAAAATTTAAATAAAATAATGAATTGTTATATATCGTTTACTAGAAAAAACCTTTAGCAACAATATGATATATAGATCATTTCTTAACATTATAAAATAAGCGAAACTATTGAAAGTTAATTCAACAACATTTAATTATTTCTAAAAATAATTACTTAATAAATATTAAAAAGATGTATTATTAAGTGTAACATTTAATTTAAAGTACTTTTTTTGATGAATACACGATTTAATATTACCTGCAATGATAAACAATGACTCATTTAAATTGATAATACAACTCGTATCGATGAACATACAGGAAATGAAAGACCTCCCTTTGAATGTCCGCGCCAACAGGATGACGTTGACGTTATTTAATCGATAACTCTTCGCCCATGATAAAGATACCAGTCGATAAGGTTCCAATTTACAAGTCACACGAGTCGATCGTTTGTTCACAACATCTCGTCGTATCCTCTTTCCCTTTATTTTTATCGTTTTGTCATCCACGGGATAGGTTTGCGTGCATCTCGACGACTATCTCTGTCGAATCGCTTTGTAGGGACAAACGCCAAAAGCGGATGTGCCATAAGCAGAAGCAGGGCTTCTTTGGGTGTTGCGTTACGCGACGTCAACCGCAAGCGGCGAAGAGATGAAATTTGACCTTATAAGTGGATCGAAGAGAGTAGGAGAAAAACTGCTTAGCATTAATAATCAGAATCCACTTTGTTCTTCTTTTTGTGTAAACCAAGTTATTCTCTTAACTTGTTTCTCCTTCCTGTGGAAGCTTCTTTTTGTGCTTCCGCTGAGTACCTCAATTATCGTCCATTTTTAGTGTTTTAAGTTCGTTCCACCGACGATGGTTGTGACGTTTTTACGCGGGTCGAACAAAAAAAGAAATCCACAGGTGCACCAGGTCCAACAATGACAGGTAGACATCGCAGCGGCGGAATGACTCTCCCGTGTCTGTGTACAGGAAGGGGCCAACCATCCATGAATCGGCCACATGGCGGAGTCGGTGTTGATGCCATTGGCTTCTAGTGGCCACGACAAGTTCTCGGCGAACGGACGCGGCTCTTCGTCTTCTTGTTTTAAATAAAAGTGGACGAGGCGCTGCCCGGCGAAGAAGACGGCGCAGATGTGCGTGTGCTAGTGCCGTAGTGTTACCAACTTTTTATCTAACCAATTTTCAGCCGGTTACTAACTCTAATATTCATTGTGAACGTGGTTTTGTGTAATTTTTTATTTTATATGAGACAACAAAACGTACAAAAATGACCAAACAAGAACTGATTTTTTAAGTGGGATTTTTTTAAAGAAAATAAGGTAAATTTTTAATTATTTAACTTTAAGCTATCTTTTGTGTCAAAAAGATTGATGTTTTGATTTTTATTTTTCTTTTAACCACAACATTTTTTTTTTATTTTGGTTAACACCAAACGTTGAACGGTCTCTTCAGTACACTATGATAATTTGAAATTATAATTTTATCAGGTACGCCTTAGTTGTTATGCCTGCCCAACCTTGTCTTTGGAAAACGTGACGATTGAAATAAAACCGCACGTTCTTCGAGACTTTTCGTTTACTATCTTTTTGTTGTTGTTTAACGAATTTTGTTTAAAATTTATACACGATATTGCACGCATCCGTTTTGGGAGAGAAAGCACGCGTCAATTTCAGTTGTAAAATTATAATTTACGATACAATCCCATTTATACAGAGTGTCCCATTTAATCAATCCACTTTGAGTAACGATTTTAATCATGAAAACCTTTTTTATTTAAAATATATAAGGTAATGTTCACTACAGGGTGTGGCAAAAATATCTGACACATTTTCTAAAGTCTTCCTTCAATCAATTACCATTGGCAGTCCAACTGGTACTTATTATGACAAGTTGTACAAAAACGCAAATTGAAGAGAAGAATAAAGTGCATCTGCATCTTTATTAATCTTGGTTGTCTTACACTTTGGACACCTATGGAGGGGTGTTACGTGTATATTACAGAAATCTAAATCTAACTTTATAGAATGGCATAGAAGAGAAGTTTCGTGTTAGCTGGTGATGAGAAAAGATGAGAAATGAACGACAAGGAACTGTAGAGTTATTGATTCGAAAGGATCAAAATCAAAAAATTCGTATCTCCAGAATTAAATGAGATATCAAAATGAGATAAAGTGCATTTTAAAGCAAATTTAATCTAGGTTTAGTATGCCAAAGATAATTTCTTAATTTCCATAAATCTAATTGTTTTGATTTTTTTAATCCGACTCTGCATATTGATGTTTATTTGAAAGGATCAAAATAAAATCATTCGTATCTCCAGAATTAAATGAGATATCAAAATGAGATAAAGTGCATTTTAAAGCAAATTTAATCTAGTTTTAGTGTGCCAAAGATAATTTCTTAGTTTCCATAAATCTAATTGTTGTGATTTTTTTAATCCGACTCTGCTTATTTGAATGTCTATTCGAAAGGATCAAATCAAAATCATTTGTATCTCCAAAATTAAATGAGATATCAAAATGAAATAAACTGCATTTTAAAGCAAATTTAATCCAGTTTTAGTGTGCCAAAGATAATTTCTTAGTTTCCATAAATCTAATTGTTTTGATTTTTTTAATCCGACTCTGCCTGTTTGATTATTTATTCGAAAGGATCAAATTAAAATCATTCGTATCTCCAGACTTAAATGAGATATCAAAATGAGATAAACTGCATTTTAAAGCAAATCTAATCTAGATTTGGTGTGCCAAAGATTATTTCTTAGTTTCCATAAATCCAGTTGTTTTGATATCTTTAATCCAAATAAGCTTGTTTGAATGTCTATTTGAAAACATTAAAATCAAAAAGTTTGTATCTCCAAAATTAAATGAGATATCAAAATGAGATAAACTGCATTTTAAAGCAAATTTAATCCAGTTTAAGGGTGCCAAAGATAATTTTTTAGTTTCCATAAATCTAATTGTTTTGATTTTTTTAATTCGACTCTGCCTGTTTGATTATTTGCTCGAAAGGATCAAATTAAAATCATTCGTATCTTCAGACTTAAATGAGATATCAAAATGACATAAAGTGCATTTTAAAGCAAATCTAATCTAGATTTGATGTGCCAAAGATGATTTCTTAGTTTCCATAAATCTAGTTGTTTTGATATCTTTAATCCAAATCTGTTTGTTTGAATGTCTATTTCAAAACATTGTAAGAAAAAAGTTTGTATCTCCAAAACTAAATGAGATATCAAAATGAGATAAACTGCATTTTAAAGCAAATTTAATCCAGTTTAAGTGTGCCAAAGATAATTTCTTAGTTTCCATAAATCTAGTTGTTTTGATTTTTTTAATCCGATTCTGCCTGTTTGATTATTTATTCAAAAGGATCAAATTAAAATCATTCGTATCTTCAAAATTAAATGAGATATCAAAATGAGATAAACTGCATTTTAAAGCAAATCTAATCTAGATTTGGTGTGCCAAAGTTGATTTCTTAGTTTCTATAAATCTAGTTGTTTTGATATCTTTAATCCCAATCTACTTGTTGAATATCTATTTGAAAAGATTGTAATAAAAACGTTCGTATCTCCAAAATTAAATGAGATATCAAAATGAACTAAACTGCATTTTAAAGCAAATTTAATCTAGTTTTAGTGTGCAAAAGATAATTTCTTAATTTCCATAAATCTAATTGTTTTGATTTTTTTAATCCCACTCTGCTTGTTTGAATGTCGATTCGAAAAGATCAAAATACAAAAATTCGTATCTCTAGAACTAAATGAGATATCACAAAGTGCATTTTAAAGCAAATTTAATCTAGTTTTAGTTATTTTCATTTTTTAAATGAGATTCTGCTTGTTTGAATGTCTATTCGAAAGGATTAAATTCAATATTTTTTTGTTCCAAATAACTATTATATTGTAGGATATTCAAAGTTAATAATGTTAGTTACGAATTGATGCGAATCTCATCTCTGAAGTGAAATTAATAGGGCGTACACATGAGTATGAATGCTCACCTAATTGCTTCACCACCATGTCGGGAGCTACTTCATTTTCTGCACGTACCTCACATAATGCAATCTTGATTGTTTAAATCGATCTAAATGCAAACGAAATTGCAGAAAGTGGATGGCGTAAATGATATCGTTTTTGTGCGCATTTTAATTTCGTCATTATACGAATTATTTTCAATGGTAAAGACACTTTCTGTCGTTGGAATGGTTTTAAATTACACTTTCTTTATTATTCTCGTTTGGTGAGACCATTACTATAGTTAATAGTTTTGAGAACGTTGTGAAAGAGTAGCATAACGCGTACAAAAGACAGCTGGAATTTCCTGTTTGATGACGGGAATGTGGACTTTGCTACGTTTATTGGAGTTGCTTAATATCTACGGATAGATTGGAAATTTGTGATAGATTTAAATGGCTGTAAAAGCGGCATTGTGTAATTTCTAATTGTATAAGTTGTAATAAATAGGCGTGATTTTTTATGTTAAACTCGGTTGAATAAAGACCGCATTCATAAATAGTTATTTGTATAAATATATATTTATATAAGTAGAATAGAATAAGGTGCATTTTTCTTTGGACGTGGTCTCTCAACAAACCAGGCCAATCCCAAACTTTCACCAGATCATCTTTTTAAGTTCTTTTCTCTCGACTACGCGGCACCTTTTCCACACCGGCTTTTTCTATTTACCCATTTGCACCTTAACGATTTCGCGGTGGACATTGTGAGCTTTCCCGGGAATTGTGAAAAGCAAACGTCGCAACATTTGAATATCGAAAGTGTAATTGTATCTATTTTTCCTAATTACATTTATATTTTACAATAAAATTTTCTTACTAAAACTTTCTTAGTAACACAGATGAGGTAAACCATGAAATTGGTTCGTACTCGCAATAATTACATGACATCACTTACAATCGTAAAACCAGAAATGTTTATTACCGTATTGTGTTTAAGCATTCCTTTCTAACACGATAAGTAAGCTTCAATAATTATTTATTTTAGGAATATAATTTAAGATGACTTTTATGTGACATGTTTTACTGTAGACGTGTCATGCAAAGTTATTAACCATTTGGAATAAGATTTCCATGAAAATATCTTAAAATATCTTAAAAAGGCGATGAAGCCTCTTTGTTTGAAAGTTTATTCGAAAGGATCAAAATAAAATCATTCAAATTAAATGAGATATCAAAATGAGATAAAGTGCATTTTAAAGCAAATCTAATCTAGATTTGGTGTGCCAAAGATGGTTTCTTAGTTTCCATGAATCTAGTTGTTTTGATATCTTTAATCCAAATAAGCTTGTTTGAATGTCTACTTCAAAAGATTGTAATAAAAAAGTTTGTATCTCCAAAATTAAATGAGATATCAAAATGAACTAAACTGCATTTTAAAACAAATTTAATCTAGTTTTAGTGTGCAAAAGATAATTTCTTAATTTCCATAAATCTAATTGTTTTAATTTTTTTAATCCGACTCTGCCTGTTTGATTATTTATTCGAAAGGATCAAATTAAAATCATTCGTATCTCCAAAATTAAATAAGATATCAAAATGAGATAAAGTGCATTTTAAAGCAAATCTAATCTAGATTTGGTGTGCCAAAGATGATTTCTTAGTTTCCATAAATCTAATTGTTTTGATATCTTTAATTCAAGTAAACTTGTTTGAATGTCTATTTCAAAAGATTGTAATAAAAAAATGTGTATCTCCAAAATTAAATGAGATATCAAAATGAACTAAACTGCATTTTAAAGNGCATTTGGAATAAGATTTCCATGAAAATATCTTAAGATATTGTGGAGCAAGTAAAATCGTCGATAAAGCCTCTTTGTTTGAAAGTTTATTCGAAAGGATCAAAATAAAATCATTTGTATCTCCAAAATTAAATGAGATATCTAAATGAGATAAAGTGCATTCTAAAGCAAATCTAATCTAGATTAGCTGTGCCAAAGATGATTTCTTAGTTTACATAAATCTAGTTGTTTTGATATCTTTAATCCAAATAAGGTTGTTTGAATGTCTATTTCAAAAGATTGTAATAAAAAAGTTTGTATCTCTAAAATTAAATGAGATAAACTGCATTTTAAAGCAAATTTAATCTAGTTTTAGTGTGCCAAAAATAATTTCTTAGTTTCCATAAATCTAGCTGTTTTGATTTTTTTAATCCGACTCTGCCTGTTTGATTATTTATTCGAAAGGATCAAATTAAAATTATTCGTATCTCCAAAATTAAATGAGATATCAAAATGAGATAAAGTGCATTTTAAAGCAAATTTAATCTAGATTTGGTGTGCCAAAGATGTTTTCTTAGTTT